CCCGGAATTCGAATACGACGGAGGAACGAACGAGGCCGCCGTCGCCCAGCGGTGTACGGGCCAAGACCTGAGCAACCTGCTCGGCGTACAGCAGTCACTCAACACCCAGTACTCGGGGTCGGAAATCATCACCGAGTTCGCCTTCAACGGCGGCGGGATTGCGGAGCATGTGCGTTTGATACTTAGAGTGCAGATCTCGTTGGTGTTCTTTAGGGGTGTCGCTTGACGCTGGGGTTGAAAAGGTGTGTGCGTTTGCAGCACGAAGCATGACGATGGGTGTGAAAACGAACACCGGGGTGTCGCGTGGCCGTTTTCGCTGGCCAAGGAATACGTGGTTGAGTGAAACGAACGCTTGGCCCCTTGGATATCTGTGCGGCCTTGCGATAGACTCATGCGACAGTTTCAGGGTGAGTGCTTAACAGCTCATCCAACGTGTCCTTGGCATGCTGGCACCACGTTTAGGTTTCGCAATCGGTGGAAGACATCTCGTACGTCCCCAACTACGAGGAGACCATGGTGACCCTCAAGGGCACCAAGTGGTTCGAAGACGGTGAGTCGGTTGTCTTTGCATGGTGGCTACTGAATCTCTCTCTTTCCTCCTCGGATACCTCCACAAGCTTACCATCCGTGGTGAAACCTTCCGACATTTTCAGTGAAATGACCTGTTCTCTAACCCAACCCAAGCAGAATATCGCCGCTGCTATGTTTGTAGGACAGCCATTTCTGGCCAAAACATTCCCATCGGTTGAGCTAGTGCACGCTGGCCGGTCGATACAAAGGCCCGCTTACGCATGTTTCAAGCGCGTGTCTTGGGTACTTGCCTAGACACGTGCTCTAGGTAACATATATGACAATATATCGATTTTGTAGACCCCTGAATGTATCGATGACACATAGACACGTCGTGTATGAATTAAATGTGATCGCCAATAATATGGACGTACGCCCGTGCAATCTTCACTTCGAATGCATCCCCCCCCCCCATCGACCCATCTCCTTCCGGTGGTTTCAGGTCAGATCAACGTGCACGACACCAACTGGCTCGCCACCA